ATATATATATATATATATATATATATATATATATATATATATATATATATATATATATATATTTATATATATATATATATATATATATATATATATATATATATATATATATATATATATATATATATATATATATATATATATATATATATATATATATATATATATATATATATATATATATATATATATATATATATATATATATATATATATATATATATATATATATATATATATATATATATATATATATATATATATATATATATATATATATATATATATATATATAGATCAGAATTTCATTACTTATTGACTCCAATGATTGCAACTATTGATTTTAATGTGTTATTAGGAATTAACTAATAAATTAACATTACCTAAAATGATTAAGTGTTTTTGTAGTCATTATTACATTGGCTTTAGTTAAATTGATGAACTCTTGCTGTACATAGTTAATGAATTAAAGACTTATAAATAGTCACAGAATTTTTTGTCGTAGGCCACATTAACACATGAAAATGTGAATGTTTTAAAAATAAATAACCTATAAGTCCACAGGAATGTCTACTATTATGAACACTACTGTCAGTACAACAAGATGAATATTGCTAAAATACACTCTAGAAGATTAAATAATAATAAATATTATTATTAATAATGACAAAAATGAACAATTATATCTAATATGATGTTATATTATTGTAAAATAACCACTTTAAAGTGCTCACAATATCAATATTGTTCATGTTCATTATTACAATATTTTAAAATATTGAATATCAGCATATGTCTATTGTCAATGTTTTAATGATAATTTGTCTTTTCATGATATACAGGTAAAACAAAATCATTTATTTTACTTTAAAAGCTATAAAAATGCAGTGTTTAATGACCGTCTAAAACGCTGTAAAATATTGTTTTCGTCTCATTTTTGTATTGGTACAGCTCGTTTAGAAATTTAACCGAGGAGGTAGTAAAAGATTATCAGGTATTTTATACAGTTTAATACCCCAAAAGTGAGCCGTGCTGAGCTGTACCATGCAGTGGAAAAAGCATCATAAACTACAACTGTGAAACATTTTATTTGTACCCAAGGTTAAAAGCAGTGTTTACAATTATGATAACCCAGTGTTGGGCACAGTGTCAAAAACCCTTATGTGTGTTAAGATGTGTTATAGTGGACAAATTATCCAAACATTTAAAAAAAATAAATAAATAAAAAGAGAGAGAGAGAGAGAGGATGCATCTCTTGCATTACATTTATTTATTAAACAATGACTCAAAAGTTCTTTTTCTTGTCTCACTGGTCAATTTTAAGCATCCCAGCTGAATAAATATATTCATTTTAAATACAGAGTGATTTAAAAAGACTACCACAACTTTAAAAATCTGTATTTAATCAAAAAAACATAATGGAATATTGGGTAAGTTTTTTTTTCAGTAGAAAACTAGTTTAAAGATGTTTAATATGACCCCCTCCAGACACTCGAGTGACATCGACCCGAAAGTTGTGATATTATTTTTGAATTACCATATATAAATGTTTTTAATTGGCAGTGGATGCGTTTAAAGTATTTGAACAATTTTAAGTTTACAAAATGTTCTTTAGAATAGTTAAAAAAATATTCTGCACGCTAACGAAAAGTAATTGATTTAAGGATATGATATAATGGTGTGTTCACACCAGATGCAGATGAATTGTCAAGTGTAAGGGATTTAGTCAATGTTAGGTCAATGTAAAGACAAAAATAAACATCCTGCGGCGCTATTCGTGTAAATGAGGTGGTGCGAATAATGAAACTTGCACAAATGAAGGGGCTCGAATTAAGCGTTTGTGTTTTTGACATAAATATCACTCAAATTGGTAAATCTGAACTTTAGTGGACACTCACGCAGCATTAACCAATCAGGAGCTTGCTCTTGTTTGGCCCTGATTATGACGTTAGCACCAGCACAGTTTCTGGAGGATTTGATGAACTCACAGAGCTGGGTGCACCTCTGAAAGTATCTAATGAACAAATATACACTGTTTTTCAGCCTTCCTAAATTACATAAAGCACAGCTACTCTCACAATAAAATCCATGTTAACCGTTTAGCAACAAAAGTAGAGTCACCGATAGAGGTGTAAACCTACACTGATCTCACAGTTATGTTCGGTTACAATTATCATGCCATCGATTCGGTTCAATTCTATATCTCGGTGCATCACGGTGCATTGATGATGCTTTCCATACACAATTATAATATATATATATATATATATATATATATATATATATATATATATATATATATATATATATATATATATATATATATATATATATATATATATATATATATATATATATATATATATATTTTTTTTTTTTTTTTTTTTTTTTTTTTTTTTTTTTTTTTTTTTTTTTTTTTTTTTTTTTTTTTTTTTTTTTTTTTTTTTTTTTTTTTTTTTTTTTTTTTTATATATATATATATATATATTTTTTATATATATATATATATATATATATATTTTTTTATATATTTTTTATATATATATATATATATATATATATATATATATATATATAAAAAAAAATATATATATATATATATATATTTTATATATATATATATATATATATATATATATATATATATATATATATATATATATATATATATATATATATATATACACACAATATATACAATCTTAAAAATGTATAAATATAGCCTATTTATATTTAGAAATTATTTTTAATACCATTTTGTCCTTTAAAACAAGCAGTCAGATATATGAACTGTACCTTTTAAAACTCAAGTACATGCACAGAACAACATGATGATTTGTA